TCTGGGAGTGGTGAGGCCGATTGGGAGACGTGGCACGAGAGGTTGTGCCACATCAACATTCCGATGCTGCAGAAGTTAGTGAAGGATGGGAGTTTGAAGGGGCTAGAGGTGAAGGGGGCAGGGAAGGAGATTGGGAGCTGCCCAACATGCCTTGAGACCAAGTTCACCAAGTTCCCTTTCAGCAGCAGCACGGGACCAGCCAAGGCACCACTTGCGCTTGTGCAAATGGATATGGTGGGCCCCACGAGGGCCACTTCGCTCTCAGGCAGCCGCTATTTCCTGACCATTGTGGACGACCACACGCGTGCAGTGTGGGTGTACCCTCACAAGGCGAAGGGGGATGTGGCAGCGGCTGTTCTCAAGGAGTGGATGCCGAGAGCTCAAAGGGAGAGCGGACACAAGGTGAAGGTGATCCGCACCGACAATGGGGGAGAGTTCATTGGCGCTGATTTTGAGGCGGTGCTGAAGAAGAAGGGGATTCAGCATCAGCTTACAGTGCCCTACAACCCTCAGCAGAATGGCGTGGCTGAGCGGTTCAACCGGACCCTGCAGGAAGGTGCTCGCACTCTCCTTGGGCGTGCAGGGCTGCCGGATCCGTTTTGGGTGACTGCACTGAGGCAGGTCGTTGTTGTGAAGAACAGGGTGCTGGCGACTGTGGGGGACAAGCAGTGGATCCCCTACACCAAGTGGTATGGGAGTGCACCTGCAGTCAACATGCTGAGAGCCTACGGCTGCATGGTGGTGTTTCATGTGCCGAAGGAGAAGAGGGGAAAGCTGGAAGCTTCTGGGAGATGGGGTGTGCATTTGGGACTTGCTAAGGATCACAAGGGCTGGTTGATATGGGATTTGACCAGCCAGCAGCTGACTGTGTCAAGGGACGTGAAGTTCCTTGAGTACTACAAGGAGTGGAAGCAGCAGCAGCAGCAGCAGCAGAAGCTTCCCACTACACCATTGATCATTCAGGCCGATGAGGTGCAGCGGCTTTCGAGGCAGGTGGAGGTTTCTGTCTCTGAGAAGGAGATCTCTGGGGTGACTGAGGATGGAGAAGAACCTGAGGTGGTGGAGCAGCAGCAGCAGCAGCAGCAGCAGCAGCAGCAGCAGCAGCAGCACCAGCAGCAGCACCAGCAGCAGCAGAAGCCGCAGCAGCAGCAGCAGCAACCTGCGGCTGACCGTCCTAGGAGGGATGTGCGCCCTCCTAACCGGCTGACCTATCCGAGCTTTGGGAAGCCAAAGGTAGTGCGGGCTGGGAGTGTGGCTGAGCAGTGTGATGAGGAGGAGATAGCGCACTGCTACTGGGCAGCCGTCCCCGAGCCCAAGACGCTTACCGAGGCCTTGAGTGGGCCCGATGCTGAGAAGTGGAAGCAGAGTGTGAAGGAGGAGTACGACTCTCTACTAGAGAACGACACGTGGGAGTTGTGTGAGCTGCCTCCTGGGAAGAAGGCAATCTCTTCGAAGCTGATTTTCAGGCACAAGTACGGACCTGATGGGGAGCTGACCCGCTACAAGTCAAGGCTTGTGGCTAAGGGGTTCCAGCAGACGAAGGGGAAGGATTTTGACGACATCTTTGCTCCTGTGGGGAAAGGGACTACACTGAGGACGATGCTTGCAACAGCTGCAAACCACGGATGGAAGATCAAGCAGATGGACATCATTACTGCTTTCTTGAATGGGATCATCCTGGAGGAGCTGTACATGCTGCAGCCTGAGGGGCTGGATGATGGGAGCGGCAGGGTGTGCAGGCTGAAGAAGGCCATCTATGGCCTGAAGCAGGCTCCTCGTGCATGGTACCACAAGCTGGAGGAGACACTGCTGGCTGGGGGTTTCAAGAAGAGTGAGTGCGACCACAGCCTGTTCCTGCTGCAGGAGAAGGAGCAGTTTCTCATGCTCCTGGTGTATGTGGACGACATCCTGCTTTTCTCCGAGTCGTCTACGATAATTGAGCGTGTGCAGGAGATGCTGGAGATGCAGTTCAAGTGTTCCAAGATGGGAGATGTGAAGTATTACCTGGGGATGCATGTGGAGAGGGACCTCGACAAGGGAGTGTTGAGGTTGCACCAGAGGAAGTACTGTGAGGGGCTGGCTGAGAAGTATGGGCTGCAAGATGGAGGAAAGCCAGCCACCCCACTGCCTTCGGGGTTCACTGTGGAGCCCTGTGCTGATGAGGAGGTGGTGGGAGAGAGTGACAGGAAGCTGTTTCATTCCATGGTTGGGGCGCTCAACTATGCGGCTAACCATACGCGTCCTGACATTGCGTTTGCTACATCCAGGCTTGCAAGTGTGGTTTCACGTCCTAGTAATGAGCAGCTGGAAGCGGCCAAGAGGTTGGTCCGCTATGTGAGTGCAACGGCATCAGTGGGCTTGGAGTACAGTGCCGTGCGGCAGAGGCTGCAGAGGGGTGCAGCTGACTTGAGCAAGGGGGAGATGCGCTTGACTTGCTACACCGACGCCAGCTTCAACTCAGTGAAGTCGGATGGCACCAGCATTGGAGGCTATGTGTGCCTCTTTGGAGGTGGTGCAGTGAGCTGGCGCAGCAAGAAGCAGAACGAGGTGGGGCTGTCCTCGTGTGAGACAGAGTACATGGCCCTTCATCATGGGGCAAAGGAGGTGGTGTGGCTGAGGCGTTTGCTGGAGGAGATTGGAGTTTCTCAGAAGGAGCCGACTGTGATTTTCTGTGACAATGAGTCAACAGTGAAGCTGGCCAAGAATGCTTGTCTTCATGGGCTGACCAAGCACATCAGGCCCAAGTGGCATTGGACAAGGAGGCTCCTGGACAAGGAGGTGCGACTGGAGCTTGTGAAGACCCAGCAGCAGGCGGCTGACATTCTCACCAAGCGCCTGGCAGAACCTGAGCATTGGAAGGGCATGAAGCTTGCAGGAATCAGTGTGCATTGAGGGTGCATGCATGAGCTGAGGCATGTGGGATGATGGTTGGCAGCCAGAGGGGGAGTTTGTTGTGTGATGCAACCATATGCATTCACGTCTGTCTGCCTCCCATCATGTGTTCGTGTGTTGCATGCGTGGTGTGAGCGTGTGCAAGAATCTGTGTTTTGCGCGGTTTAAATTTCCTGGGTGTGTGTGAATGTCATTTGGCTTGAGCAGATATCTGAAGTGATTGCTCTGCTCAAGAGCTTCCCGACGAACCAAGAATCGTCGCGATCGGAGCAATATCAAGAAAGTTACGAACGTTGGAGTTCGTATGCTTTCTGTACTTTGGTTGCGGCAACTATGGGAAGTTGTGGGGCTTGCTCCATAAGGGGTACAGACTTTTGAGGGTTGGGAAATTCGAACCCATCACTGTAGATTGCTGCCATGTGGTTGGGAGAAGCCAAACCAGGTTGGCAAGTGTGGCCAAGTGGGTTGAGGTGGATGGCATGAGTTGGGAAAGTGACAAATGTGAAAGTGGGGTTGCCTATGGAGAGGGGATTTGTGTGGCATGGGGTTTCCTTGGTTGGGGACTCCCTTGGGACCTTCCCTCTCGTCCTCCTCATCCCCTCCTACCTGGTTTAGTGCTACTCCAATTCTCTTGTGTGCAACTTTTGTGAAACTTGAGAGAGAATTATTATTGAGTTAAGTTTCTATGGCAGCTTACCCCCTAGTGCGCCGAAATTCATAACTCGAGTTATACTTCATCTGTTGACACGATTCGAATTGGGAAATGTAGCTACGGTCTAGAGCTACAACATACTCGAGTTAAAAACAATTCTAACGGTGCGTTCTTTGTCGACGACGTTTCTTGTGAAGTCGCGGTTTCTGTCCAGAAATTGAGACCAACGATTTTGTGATATTTCGGCCCCTAAACGTTCTAGACTCAGTTCTTAGTCCCTAACACGGCTCGCCGACCTCGTTGATGATAGACTGGTGCCCCCACAGCCTGAACCCGGAGAGGAGGGAAATGGGCGGCACACATGCTGCGGTGGCAGGGCAATTTCAATCCGCTTCTAGAGGTATCGGATAAGTTGTCCCTACCTGGCATCGCATGACAACGGGATTGGGCCGCGCAGCAGCTTCCCTGTCAGCGTTGGTAGATGCGTTGCTCCGGGATAGGATTTGTGCGGTGGGAAACCAAGTCGCTGCTGTTTTTGCTTCCATGTCATGCACGAAACCGACGTGAACGTTTGAGGGTCGTATTCGCCTTAATGAGAGCTTCGATTTGGTACCCTAAGAAGCAAAATTCATTTTTTTTCCACTTTATAAGCGCAGGCGCTTATGCCCTTTCCTCAATTACAAGCGCTCCCCTGAAACAATCGATTTTATTATAAGCGCATATGCGCTACTATTCGGGGGAATACGGTAATCTTCACGCATTTCCTTTGCTCGCTGTATCGTTGTTTTGCTTCGATAGAGCAATTCTCGCTCACTCGCTCGATTGCACTCATAACCAGGGCCTCAGAAGTAAAGAGTTTTACCCTGAATTCCTGAAGTTTAACCCTCGTTTTTTATCACGACCCTGATGCATCAGCCTTTTTATTTTGACGACCCTGATGTTTCAGTGTTTTTTATTTTTAAACTCTGATTTTTTTGTGTTTTGAATTTTCAGGCACTTATGAATTACCTTTGTATCGCGTTCGGTCCTGATACTGTAGATTCTGTGAATCACGCAGATTCGCCAACAGGGCTCTCGTTATCATACCAAATTGGTCTGATGTTCTGATTTTCAGACCTAGATTTTTGCTTTCATCTGATCCCCAAGACGATGCTTTTTATTTCGTCTGATCCGTAAGATGACTGATTTTAGTTCATCTGATATTTCAGAGAAAGCATAATACCTAGTCTGAAATTTCAGATAACGAGTTGTTTTTCGTCTGATACCGATCCCCCTCTCCCCAACCCCCCCTTTCCCCCCCGACCTCTCGCTACTCTACCAGCTCAGCCCCCCCTTCTATGCCCTCGCTCCCCTTCCAGGCCTAGTCCTGTCCAACCCTTCTCCCCCCCCCCCCCCCCCCCCAACCTGAGGTGTCCTGGTCTCACTCCCAGCCTAGCCCGCTTTCATGCCCCTCGTAATGTCTCGCAGCCCAGCCCCCCCTTTCCTTCGCGTCCCTCCACCTCCACCCACCCTGATCCCTCGCGTCACGTGCGTGCCCCTCAACAACCACACGGCTGTCAGCTAGCGAGCTGTCAGCACCGTGCCAGGGGCGCGTTCATTAACAAAACAAGTGTGATTATCTTAGACAAGTGTGTTAGCTAAATCAGACTGTGCAAATTAAATCGTATGAAGAATCAGACTAAGCTTCAACATTCGTCCAAAAAATCAGACCAAAAAAATATGCCCGTCTGAACGTCAGACGGAACGGTTTTTTTACTTAGGTATGTCAGACAGGCCCAAATCCTAGCAAGAGCCCTGTTCGCCAAGTTCGGCGCCTAGGCTTTCACCGTCTGCAGTCACTTACGGTACCCTCTGTGCTCTAGTGCCACGTTGCGCCTTGGCTAGGAGTGGTTTTGCCACTCGCTTATGAATTATGATTCTCATCAGGGTGTTAACACACTGATTGTTCAGCGTTTTGTTTTTCCAAACCCTGAAAAAGCAGTGTTTTTAAACAGACGACACTGAAAATCAGTGTTATACTCCTAGGGACACTTAGTGCTCAGGGTACCCAAAAACCAATATGAGGCCCACCTTGTCAAATATTATTATACGTTCTTAGGCTACAGTGAGTAGCACACTAGGGAGTACAAATGTTTTAGGGTTGCTTGTGTATCTCTCTCTCGACACTAGTCTCATCATTCCATTGCACATCTCTCTCTCTAACTTAAGATGGTATCACGAGTAGGTAGCGTATCCTAGTCTAACTCGCCCTCTAGCGCCCTCCACGCTCTAGCCTCCCGTCGCACGCGTAGCGCCCTCCGAATCGCGCCCTTCGCGCCCTCTCAAACGCGCACTCCGCGCCGTCCGCGCCCTCTTAGATGCGCCCTCCGCGCCCTCGCAAACGCGCCCTCTGCGCCCTCTCACACGCGCCCTCCGCGCCCTCCACGCTCTCCTCCTCCGCGCGAGAGCGCCCTCCGCGCCCCTAGCCCGCGCCGTCGTGGACCTCCGCGCCTCGCCCGTCGCCCAGGCCCGCGCCTAGCGTGTCGCCCAGGCCCGCGCCTAGCCCGTCGCCCAGGTCCGCACCTAGCCCGTCGCCCAGGCCCGCGCCTAGCCCGTCGCCCAGGCCCGCGCCTAGCCCGTCGCCCAGGCCCGCGCCTAGCCCGTCGCCAAGGAACGCGCCTAGCCCGTCGCCCAGGCCCGCGCCTAGCCCGTCGCGCTTAGCTCGCGGCTCCCCGCCCCTTCCCCATCGGCCTGTACCACGATGACCTCCCGCACCCATGCATTCGCTTACGTGCTGATTGCGCTTCCTTGAGCATCGTGGAGGCTTTCTTCCACTTCGCGAGACACTTGCGGTGGATTCCGGACTCGCAAGACAGCGACCGCAGCGACACTGCCACATCCTTGCGCCCAATCCACTGCAGCTTCTCCTGCACGGTTTAAGCGTTATGCTTATGCTGCGACGGCTTGTGCCTGGGAGAGGGGGGGCAGACATCACGGTTCTCATAGGAGGGGTGGGGGCGCTCGCGGTTAACAGGAGGAACAATAGGAATAGGAAGCTTCTCAGGAAGTCTGCAGCGCGACCAATACTCCACACCGTCATCTTCGGGAAACACATCTTCCGCGGTGTCGGCCTCGGCGCCAGTGTCGGTGCCAGCCTCAGTGCCAGCCTCGGTGTCGGGCACATCGTCGTCAGCGCCCACAGCAGATTCTGTCAGAATAACTAAAGCAGGAATGAATGAACTAGCAGGAAGTTTGGTACAAGTATGAAACCCTAAGTTTGTGTACCCCCTAAGGTGTAACCCACTACAGCCTACACAACTTAAACATGCAATGTTTGACACACCCCCATAGGCGCAGTGGGAGACAACCACAGGGTCATGAGACCAGTCAAAGCAAAGCAAAACAAGCTCAGGGTGGATCTCAAGGATACCACACAAATTCCGAGCACAAGCAAATGGTCACAAGACCAGTTCACATGCAGGTTGATAATATAACAGGAGAAACAGCAATCACAACCTAGCAAGAGTACACATGCAGGTATATATATAGAGATCACAGTACAAGCAGAGTCAAGCAGTAAGCAAGTGAGGTCCAGCAGGCACAAGGCCTAGAAGAGTACAGAAACGCTGATGGTCACAAGGCTGAAGCGCCTTGGTGAACACATCAGCAGTGTTGGCCCGAGTGGCCACGTAACGCAGACAAAGCTGACCGCGCTGCTGCAGCTCTCGAGCAAGGAAGTAGCGCAGAGCGATGTGCTTCGTTCTGTGCTCCAGTCTGTGCTCCTCACACAAGGCAATGGCAGCCTTGTTGTCGACGTACAGCACTGGAGGAGAACGAGGCCGCTCTCCCAAGTCGGTCAGCAGGTAGGTGAGCCAGCGTAGCTCCTGGGCCGCCATGGCTGTGGCGTAGATCTCAGCCTCACAACTGGAGCTGAGAACAGAAGAAGAGCGTGTAGAACGCCAAGAAACTGAACCAGAGCCAAGACTGAAGGTGTAACCCTGAGACGACCGCTGAGTGGCCTGGTCGTCCGCCCAAGAGGCGTCTGAGTGCCCAGTGAGTACAACTCGGTCTCGCCCTCCAAGCACTAGTCCCATGCCCGACGTACTGCACAAGTAGCGCAACACCCTCTTAGCGGCATCCATGTGCTCCTTCCGGTGACGGCCAGGAGCGACATAGCATGCAAGGATGCTAAGAGGGTATGCAAGGTCAGGTCGAGTGCAGGTCATCAGGTACATGAGGCAGCCCACAAGCTCTGGATACGGGCCACTCGGCTCTACGGACTCATCCGAAGGCAGAGCTGAGAGCGAGTGACCGGTAGGCAGAGGAGTGGGCTGGGGCGAGGAGTACGTGAAGCGGAAGCGCTGAAGGATCTGCTGCACCATGTGTGACTGAGTCAAAGTGATGGTGCGCCGTGCTCTGTCCCGGGTGATCCGCAAGCCAAGATAGCTTGTCAGTTCACCCAGGTCTGTGCACGTGTATCTCTTCTGCAGCTCCGACTTCACGTGGGCGAGTGCCGCAGTGTCAGCAGTGGCAAAGACCAAGTCGTCAACGTACACGAGGATGTAGAACGGCGGCAGCGAGGTGTCGGTACGTAGAAACAGCGACGGGTCAGCAGTAGAGGGAGCGAACCCAAGAGCCGCAAGTGTCGTCCTCAGTGTGTCGTGCCACTCACGTGGTGCCTGGCGGAGACCGTAGACCGGCCGCCGGAGGCTCCACTGGGTGCCAGGAGGAAACGACCCAGTGAAGCCAGGAGGGCGGCGCAGCCAGATCTCCTCGTGCAGGCTGCCCTGTAAGAAAGCAGTGCTGAAGTCAAGTGAGTGAAGCTCGTAGTCGCGCTGAGCGGCTATGTGCAGCAGCACCCGAAGAGTGGTCATCTTCGGGGTGGGGGAGAAGGTCTGGAAGAAGTCTACTCCCTCTCGCTGACTGAAGCCTCGAGCAACGTAGCGCGCCTTGAAGACAGGAGGAGAACCCGGCGGCCGCTTCACCCTGAAAATCCACATGCCACTGACAATGTTCGCCCCAGGTGGGGGAACCTCGTCAATGTAGGTGCCTGTGGACTTCCAGGAAGCCATCTCTGCGTCCATGGCTGTCTGCCACTGAGAGGAGTAGGGACCCGCCATCGCCTCTGCGTAAGAGCGCGGGGTCGGGATGTCTGGTGCATCCGGGTCTCCCTCAGGGGCGACTAGCATGGACACGAGATGGGGCAAAGCAGCAGCAAAGCACTGGAACTCCTCCTGTCTGTCCTCAAGGACGTCCGTGCCAAGAGCACGCTCACCCCCGACGGACGGAGGACAGACAGACTCAGACTCAGCAACAAGGCTAGCGGCGTAGTCTAGACGACACCTGGCAGCAAAGTCAACCAACTCAGCGACCAGAGCAGACGCAGCAGAGGACTCAAAGGTAGGGTCAGTGACAACAGTGGCGAGGAGACGCGTGACAGTGGGACTGGCAGCACGAAGAGAGTCAGACTCCGGGTCAGGAAGAGTAGGAAGAGAGGACGCAGGAGGAGATGGCAGAGGGACACGCTGAGGAGCAGTGGAGCGACGGGGCACCATCTGGTGAGTGCCTGGGACAGCAGGAGGACGAGGACGCGGGACGCGACGAACAGTGCGAGCAGCACAAACAGGTGACGCAGAGCGAGACGCAGGCGACACAGGACGAGACTCATGCTCAGGACGCTCCGTAAGACCTCCTGTGGGACCAGCGTAAGGAGAAGGACCAGCGAGAGGCGAGGCAGGCGGTAACTGTGACTGCGACTGGACAGGTGGAGGACACTCTAAGGAGGGAGAAGGACAAGGAGGAGGAGTCTGACCAAGAACCTGCTGAAGGAGCGGCACGAAGTACGGTCGCGGCCGCGTAGCGTCTCCAGAACCAGCAGAGACACCAGCGGCAGGGTCCTCAGCACCAGCAGCAGCTCCAACTCCAGGGTCCGCAGCACCAGCAGCAGCTCCAACGCCCGTGTCCTCAGCACCAGCCACAGCGCCAACTCCAGGGTCCGCAGCACCAGCAGCAGCCCCAACGCCCGGGTCCTCAGCACCAGTCACAGCGCCAACTCCAGGGTCGGCAGCACCAGCAGCAGCTCCAACGCCCGTGTCCTCAGCACCAGCCACAGCGCCAACTCCAGGGTCCGCAGCACCAGCAGCAGCTCCAACGCCCGGGTCCTCAGCACCAGCCACAGCGCCAACTCCAGGGTCCGCGACACCAGGAGCGCCACTCCGAAGGCTGCAGCGCCGCGTGTACCACTCTCGGATCCGCTGAAGGGAGGGCAGCTCCCGGCCAGGAGGGGAAGCACTAGTACCAGCTCCAGCAGCACTCCTGGCTCCAGAAGCACCTCTCCTGAGGCTGCAGTACTGTAAGTACCTCTCCTGCAGCTGCTGTGAGGAGAGGGCTCCTCCAGGTGGAACACCCCCAGGCACAGCACCTCCAGACTCAGCACCCCCAGACTCAGCACCTCCAGGCTCAGCACCCCCAGACGCAGCACCCCCAGGCTCAGTACCCCCAGACTCCGCACCCCCAGGCTCCGCAACCCCAGGCTCCGCACCCCCAGGCTCCGCACCCCCAGGCTCCGCACCCTCAGGCTCCGCACCCCCAGGCTCAGCACCCTCACGCTCAGCACCCGCAGGCTCAGTACCCCAAGCAGGACGAGAGTCGACAGCTACCTCGACAGGCTCACCCGGGTCTACCTGGGACACACCTGAGGGAGCGGCAACCTGCGGGGGGAGGGGGTCTAGTACAGTAGCACCTGGAGCGAGGAAGAGAGGCGGGGGGGGGAGCGGGGCAGTGCGGTAGGGGAAGAGGCGGTAGAAGGGGACGGACTCGTCAAAAGTGACGTCCTGAGAGGACAGGACACGGCGCGAGGTGGCGTGGTAAAACTGCCAACCAGGCGCGTCCGGGACAAAGCCAAGGAAGACACAAGGAACAGCGCGAGAGGAGAGCTTGTCCGCGGACGTATCGCGAACAAAAGCTCGGGATCCCCAGACCCGAAAACGCGACGCATCGCCAACCTCTCCCGTCCAACGCAGTGTCGGGGAAGTCTCCGGCAAGGAGACACGGGGCCAGAGGTTGAGCTGATGCGCAGCGTATCGGACCGCAAACGGCCACAGAAAGTGGGGGGCAGCCGCATGGATCAAGGAGGTACGAGCGACCTCCATGACCAAGCCAATGCGGCGCTCAGCAACCCCATTCTGCTGTGGAGAGGCCGGAAGCATGAACGACTGCTCAATGCCGTGCTCCGCACAGTAGGCTGCCAGGAGGTCGGAGGAGAACTCACCACCTCTGTCAGAGTGCAAACGCAGGACAGGAAAGTCACGAGAGGAAGGGGAACACCCCTCAAAGAAAGGGGTGCGGGGGTCGCCACGAGAGGCACCTACAGCGACGATGCTCGCCTCAGCTGCAAGTAGTTCCTTCTCGAGGAGGGCAATGGTGAGCTCAGTGGGGCAGCGAGCTAGGAAGTGATCCCTGACTGCGCGCAGAGAGTCAGGGAGGCGGGTGACGATGTGGTAGAGAGTGAGCCAGAGCGGGGGGGGGTTCTTAGCAAGGAACTCATCGGGCATAGCAGCACGGAAGCGGGCCTCACTAGTCTTGAGGTGGGTGATGAGGTCAGCAACTGTGTGAAAGGAGGCCAGGTCGGGGAACAGGTAGGGGAGTGAGAGGCGGCCTAGTGCGGCAGAAGCAGGTGAGGAGTAGCGAGCAACGACAGCAGTGTACAGTTCCTTAGCAGT